CTTAAGAGGTTGTTTTCAAGATTTGGTGTTTCTAAAGCTCTAATTAGTGATCGGGGAGCTCACTTTAAAATGATCAATTAGCTAAGGTGTTACAAAAATATGGTGTACACCATATATTTTTAACATCATATCATCCACAAACAAGTGGGCAAATCGAACTTACAAACAGGGCATTAAAACGAATATTGGAACGATCGGCTGGAAGTAATAAAAAATAGTGGTTAGACAAGTTTGATGATGCACTTTGGCCATTTCGAATGACTTTTAAAAGACCTATTGGTACTACACCATGTGGGTTGATTTATCGAAAGAATTGCCACTTGTCGGTTGAAATCAAGCATAAGGCATTTCGGGCTTTGGAGCTATGTAATTTTGAACTCACCGAACTTCGTGCCAACCAATTGATGCAAATGAATGCCATTAGAGAGATTAGAAATGAAGTATACACTAGCTAATTAATTAAAGACAAGACTAAGAAATTTCATGATATGAGACTAAAAGGTGATAAGGATTTTCAATAGGGACAAAAGGTGCTACTCTTCAATTCAAGGTTAAAGCTTTTCCCAAGCAAATTACAAACTAGGTGGGACGGGCCCTTTGTTGTTAAAAAAGTTTTCCAACATGGAGATATTGAGCTTATATCGAGATACGGAATCCCTTTCAAAGTTAACAGGCATAGAGTGAATCATTATGAAGAAGGAATGCCAATTGAAGAAAAAAGGGGGAAATCGTCAAATTCACATGAGCTGAAGAAGCTCTTGCAGGAGGCAACCTGTGGGTTTGAGTTTGCATTTTCTTTCCTTTCCTTTTAATTCAATTTTCTTTGTATTTTTTTTATTTAATGCTTTATACATTTATTCTTCTTCATGTCTATGGAATTCAATGTGGGGAATGGAATAAAACGAGTGTGGTGTGGATGATTTTTATAAGATTTTGACCAATTTAGAAGGTTTTCTAGAAAAAAACATCACCACTAGGTGGTGGAAACCACCACGAGGTGGAAACCACCACGAGGTGGAGAATTTAAAGAATTCGATTTTTTGCGATACCACAACGTGGTAACTTCCCCACATCGTGATGTCGGTTTAACTGCAGTAAAATTAGGATTTTTAAACCTCAGTAAAACACAAATTCACATTTACTTTGCCTCTCTCTCTCGACGTGTTCCCTTTCCCCACGAAGAACATCCCATTCTTTTACTCGATTTCTTGCATTTTTCCCCTAAAAGGTACAACTTTTATGTTATTTTGTTACTTGTAATAACTTCTTATGCTAGCATAGGGTATAAATTTGCTATTGAAACACTTTTAGGACCGATATTTAGAACCTAGGGTTTCAATTTTTGCAAAACTCAGACCTGGTTAATGATGTTTTTCATTTGATTTTGTTGCCTTCCTACTTGGATTCATGCCTAGAACAAAACCTGAAGATGTATTGAGTTGGTATGATGTGGGATTAGGTCCGATTGAACCACAAATATGCGACTGTACGTTGACCACAACGACTCATCGTGGTAATTTCTTTTAAGCTAAACCTGTTTTGTTCTGATTCTTTGCATACACATGGTTCCCTCTTGTGTTCTTTTTGGTTATTTTGCATAAATGGCTAGCCGTCCACAATGCTAACAACCCGCGAGCAACCCTGAACTTCATGATATTCTTTTCCAATGACTGTTGCACCCGAGATTTACACAAGATAGAATGCAAAACTCGACTAGATGAAGTAGAAAAAAGTCCATCTTCCTGCAATTGTGGATTAGCATTGGATGGGACAAACCGGGTTAATAGAGGGAATTGAGCCATACTTGCACAAAGCATTCAATACCATTCATGGGCTGTTTTTTTGGTATGGGGTGTAGAAGGCTATTTAAAATATGTAAAGTAGTGTGTAAGAGTTAGTCGTTGAGTTTCAGTCCGCAGTTTCTTTTGCACAGAAGGATGGCATATTTGTTGAGAACAATATTTCTTTTTGCCTTGGTGGAGAAAGGCGTACTTTAAGCCTTGTTAATTTTGCGCTAAGGACATGGATTTATCTTCCATCTGAAGTCCATTCTAAAGCCTATCAATAATATATTTTTGGATGTGTTCAGGTTACTAAGCGGTTTAAGGCGGAAGCACATTTGAATGAAATAGCTAATGGTGCTTACAATAAGGGGACTACACAAGAAAGTAACATTCGATCTCCTCTTCATCGTCTTTTGCACTGGCTTATCGCAAACACCATTAATTATATACAGGAGGGGGACAAGTGTCTGACGATTGATGTGTTTCTCTTATGGGCTTTTACGACCCCCGATGTTTATGTGGACTTACCATTCCTATTAGCGGATTTTCTTGTGACCCGAGCAGGAAAAGATAGGCGAGGTTCTCCTCTTTATGGGGGTATGTTGATCACATGGCTTGCACGTTCTTTTAGAGTCCTTGATAAGCACGAGGCCATGTTTTTTACTATGTAGAACCAGAAGCCTGTCTCTACACTACTTTATAAGTGGTTCTCCTCTTTATTGGGGTATGTTGATCACACGGATTGCACGTTCTTTTAGAGTCCTTGATAAGCACGAGGCCATGTTTTTTACTGTGTAGAACCAGAAGCCTTTCTCTGCACTACTTTATAAGAGAGTCACAATCATTGTTGATCATGGGATGGGTGGTTTTTCTATTCCTGATGATACTCCACAAGGCTGAGTTCCGAGGTTGGTAAGACAAATGAGTGACCCTGAAGAAGATGAACCACCAGATGTACCAATTATTGACGAGATACCCATGGATCACCATAACATTGCTATGAGGAGGTTTGATGATAACTTCACATGGGGTGTCAACTACACCAACATTAGCCTAGACCACCTTATGCAGCAAATGCATGTGACCTGACCCGCTTATTTTCCTCCTACTTATCCATATGTACCGAGTTGGGAGGAACTGTGGAGAGAGAAACAATGTGGAGCAAATGGTGGGGGGGGGGGGAGGAGGTGATGATGGAGATGATGAAGAATGAAAGTTATATCCTTTTATTTTAGTGGATTAAAGACTCAGTTTGTTCTCTATCTTTTATTTTTGTGTGTTTGGTTTGTTTTGTTTTGTTGTTTGATACTTATTTCTTTTTGGTTTGGTTGTTTGACAATGTTTCCTGTTTTCATTACTCATCTTTGCTTTAGATGTTGAGTTGTAATTTACAGAGTCCAAGAGAGGGTAATATTGGCAATAGGAGATACTTTATAGAGAATGATAAGAAACTGTGAGAGAAGCAACTCTTGTGTAATTTTTTAGAGTGTTTATTTGCATCAATAAGTGAAGGGTCATGCCTAACAGCTTCATACATTAGTTGGTGCCACGAATATTCCAGAATTCAATCGATTCTAACACAGTTTGTTGCAATTTTCAGAACACCACATTGTGGTGTCGCGGAAAAAAACCCAACATCGTATTCTATTTGGTCACGATGAGGTGGTGACCTCCGCCACGAGGTGGTGCTTTTTGAGTCTGTTTTCAAGTCTGATCCCGTACTTTCAGAAGTTTAGTGCATTTCTAATTTTATATTGATTCTCGTGGTTTGGATGAGCTGTCCTACACCATAGAATTTATTTTAACGTGGTAAGGAGGCTGCCATTATATTGTCCAATTCTGTTTCACACTTTCAAGCAACCGGACTTTTCTACACATTTCCACAGGATTCGAGGTGCACCTTCTACCCACGGGAGTTTGTTCCTTTTTCTCCCTCTTTTTAATTTTTGTGTTTTGCATAACATGTAATGAACGGATTGCATGAAATAAGTTTGGGTTAGTGGGTATATTATATTGCATGAGAAAAAGCATTTGATTTTTAACTTTTTGCATTGCTAGTTTCAAAATTTGCATTCATATAGACTTAAAATAATCAGTTTAACTTAGGAAACTTAGCTAATTAATATCTTTGCTAGCATAGTATGGGATGATCCAATGAGAACCCAAATGTTTACTCGAACCAACAAATGTTACAGTAAATTCGTGGCTTCTTATTTCAAGTGAAAAGTCATGAGGTATGAAAGGTAATCTGGTAGCTTTTATGGCATAACACATTCTGTAGCCTAAACCTTAAATCTATCTAGGAAAATTTACGTAGTCATTGCACTTAGACTAATTCCTTAGCCAATAAATGATGAAGCTAAGCTCCTTGCTTTAGCATATAGGATTTGAGTGAAAAAAAAGTTATATACATGTGAAAAAAAAGAGAAATTACCAAAAAGTTCAAGAGTTTTGGAGCAGTCAAATTATGAAATTCAAAGATCAAAATTCTAGAGAAACCTGAAAAGTTAAAGATACCAAAAAATCAAATAGAAAAGGTGATGAATTCAAAGAAATCAAATATCACATATACAAAGAAATGGAATAAATCATAGAGCTCCATTGTGGTATCAAAGTTGTAATTTCTAGAATTTATGTATGCTTGGTTGTTTAGCCAATAATACTTTTAGGGTAAGGAAGTTTTTTTTGAGGATTGATTCGGAGGGTTGCAAAAGAGAGTTTCGTATAAGCTAAGGGATGAAGGTTCATAAGGATTGTGAGTATTTAGGATTGACAAGTTCTTAGGAGTTATAGACATAAATACATGAATTGAGGTCTTGGGATAATGTGTATCTTTATACACATCATTATACATGATGACATAATATTTTAATTACCTTTATAACCTTATTAGAAAAAGAGAGATACTTAATTTAGTATGAATTATGTTGGAGGGATAAAAGACACGCTTAGAGCAAAATTGAAGCTGGAAGCTGGAAGTTCGACCTAGGAGTTGGAAGTATGAATTAAAGTTTTAAAATGAAGAAAAATATACCCAACACTTCGTGGTGGCCTTGCCACGGCTTGGTGACTTGAATAATCCTGATTCAATTTGAATACTTGTAGAGCACGGGATAAACACGAAGACCACAGCGTGGTGGCCTTGCCACCTCGTGGTGACTTGAATTCAGGAATCTATATATAGACATCATTCTCCTATGATTGGGACTTTTAGCTGTAAAAAGAATCATCACTTTTGAACAAGAGGCACCTATTCTATGGCTTGGAATAAAGGAATTCGATCATACTGTTGGAAATAGGAGAATTAAGGCAAAAATCTCTACACTTTGAGTTTTAATTAGTTTCTACCATGTCAAACTCTTTGAATGTCTGATATTCGCATAATTAGCCATATCTTTAGCATATATTTTTATCCATTTTTAGCTAATTATATGCATAATATGGACAAAAGGTACTTAATGATGCTTAAATAATGTTTTCAGTCCAAGAGACAGCTTTGGAGCAAAAAGGAGTAAGGATGAGCAATTAGTGACCAACGGATGAAGAAAAAGGAAGTATAACACATCTACTCGGTGAATCCACGCATCAACTCGGTGAGTTCGTAAGAATGTTCCCAAAGAAAAGTCAAAAATCCTTGCCGTACATGGATTCCATGCATCTACTCGGCGAGTCCACGACCTACTCACCGAGTAGCCCCTGTTTTGTGATAACTATAAATATGGAGTCTTAATCCGAATTAAAGACTTTTCTGGCTTCCTTGGAGATAGAGCTACGATTGGCGAAACCTTTGAAGACCTGAAGAACCCTACTCTTTGATATTTTGAAGTTTGGAAGTGAATTAGGTTATATTTTCCACTTAATCTAGGATTGCATTATTTTTAGTTTAATAAAAGTCGTTCTTGAGCCTGCTTTTCTTGTAATCCTGAGCTAAAACTCGGATGGTTTCTGTTTAGGAAGAACCTAATTACTCTTATGGTTTAATTGATAATTTTGTTAATTGTTTATTGGTTATTTCATTAAATTAAGTTTGTTAAAGAACCTTATGAATTGATTACAACTATTTTCTGTTAATTGGAAGACAATTAAGTTGCATGAACATCTCTTAGTTGTTAACCTCATATGTTTATGTGACTACATTATCATATGACTAGGAATAATGAACATGAAACTAGAATTAATAAGAGAATAGGTAAATTAATGTGTGAGCTTGTTTGAGAAACCAACAAACAAGAGGTTAGTTGAATCACCCACTTGATTAACCAACTACAAATCTTATTTAATCCAAATAATTGAACTAGGGAATTAATTAGTTTAAACAATTGGCCATTGCGTGAATTAATTAATTATCTAAGGGTTAGTATTAGTGAATATGAACCTAACCACTATAGTTGGTAACCAATAACAATTTATATATCACATTACTATAAAAATAACCATAGGAGTGAATTGGTTGGACCTAAACAGAAGCTCTTTATCAAAATTTGGAGAATTTTTACTTGTTAGTTTTTAGTTAAATTTCGTGTTAGGTGTTTTGTTTAAGTTTCTAGTCTTGTAAAACTAGAGAAAAACCTTTACTTTTATTATTGGCTTAGTTAAAATTAGTTATTAGTTTAATTTCCACTCCCTGAGTTCGATACTCTACTTATTCATCTATACCACTAAAAGACAAGTTCACTGCCTTTGTGTGCTAAATTTACAACTTAAAAGTAGGATTAAAACCGGTGCATTTTACACACATCAACTTTTTGGCGCCGTTGTTGGGGAACGGTTCAAAAATTAATCTAATTCCTAATTTTATCGATCCTTTGTGTGAGCTTTCTGGCACAATGTTAATTTATTTCAGTATAATAGTCAGTAGTTTAGCTTTTCGAATCTGTTAAAGTTTGTGTCTTTAGCTTTGTTTCTTTTTAAAATACTAAGCTACTCGCCGAGTGCATTCGCACCTACTCAGCGAGTGGGCTTCTATTTTACATTTATTTTTCTGTTAAGTTAAGCTGCATTTGTTTGTTCTTTCTACGTGTTCATCTTGTTTTATTTCAGGACTTTCATGACCAGAGGATCAAACACTCCGCTGGTACCCCCGTTTGAAGACCCGGAATCCGCATTGAGAAAGAACAGAGGCAAGGACGTAGAGAGCTCAAATAAACCTAAGAAGTCACCTTTGTCAAACTTGAAGATTGTTTTTGGAAAGAAAAAGAGTAGCAAATCAGGAGCATCTAGCGCATCTTAGCAAGCGAAGACCAGATCAAGGAAGACACCGAGTACGACACCGAGGAGGAAGAAGAACCTACATACGGGCACGACTCCGATTCCGGCGATGAGTTAGCTCTTACCATGGCTAACATTGATGAAATTCCTATGGGAGAGTTGAAGAAGAGGATCCGCGATGATACCAGCCCAGGACTTGTGCAACCTGCCATTCTCGCTACTGCTACTTTCGAACTAAAGGGCCACATACTCGCGCAACTAAAGGAGATTCCTTTATATGGAAAAGAACACGAAGATGCCTACAAGTACTTGGATGAAGTCAATGATGTAGCTGATTACTTTAATGTTCCAAATGTGCCTTGCGAGACTCAGCTATTTCGCATGCTCCCAGTTACATTCAAAGGTGCTGCAAAAGACTGGCTCAAGTCACTCCCTCTTGGGTCAGTCACCACATGGGCCAAGATGAAAGAAGAATGTATTGATCACTTTTTCCCACCTTCCAAAATAGCCAAGTTGAAGAAGGTCATTGCTAACTTTTAACAACAATCTCGATAGTCACTATATGAAGCTTAGGAGAGGTACAAGAGCCTGCTAAGGAATTGCCCGCACCATGACCTTAATAGCTTACAAGAAGTCTCCATCTTCTATGATGGAGTCAATGTAACAACCAGGATGTTACTTGACTAGCAAGGCCCGCTCACAAAGAAGCCGCCCCCGGTGATCATGGAATTGATTGAAGAATTCTCTAAGCATTCTAGAGAATACCATAATCCAAGAAATGATGTTACTAGGGGAGCCGCATACGTAGCTACTGAAGACTTGTCAGCAGTCATGGCTATGCTAAAAACCATGGATAGGAGGATGCATAAAATGGATCAAAC